AATGAACGGTTTTTAGAGCATAGCTACAATCAAAATAAAAAGTAAAGCAAGCTTCAGAAAGTAGACAAGGCCATTAATTCATAATCAATCAACTATTAAAAAAAACATCAAAGGTGTATTTTTTTTGAATAAAAAAAAATCGTATCTTTGCACTTACGAATAGTTAGAGCAACCAAGAAAGCGAAGCTAAAAACTAATTATAAAAATAAATGTGTATAAAAATGAGGAGAGATAGTGAATGGGGACTCTGATGAACCAAAGAAATGGCGGATTGAATGCATTCAAACTTGCAAGTTTCACTCTTTTTAATGAAAATGAACTAGATGTGCTAGTTTTTTTGCCAATTATCAATTAAACAATGAATTGGCCAGTGCAACAGTAGTAGTTGTAGTGTAGTAGTAGTTGTAGTGGCAGGGTTGTAGTAGTTGTTACAGTATTTGCTACAGTATTGATCGTAATAATAGTAGCATCAGTGGTCGCTGCAATGGTAAAGTTGAAGCAGCAGTGATAGTCGTAGTAGTAAAGGTAGTAACGTCAACAGCGGTTGAAGTTTTATTATGGCTGCTAAGAAACAGTAAAAGAAGTGGTAAATTAATTTTGGTGGCTGGCATTTTTAATGTTATATTATTTAGAAGCATTTAACAGTAGCGGAGGCAAATAAATAGAAATGATTGAAACTGTAATAAGCAATAAATATAAAAATAAATCAATTGGTAATTGCTCAAAATCCTATTTTTAATGATAAGATAAAATCATCAGTGCACTTGCCGGCTTTTCAAGAAAATATTTTAAACATCATAGCAATAATTATTGCTTATTATTTTATATTATTATATAACATTATATTAATTATAATGAATTATATAGAAATCTAATAATATAATAATAATGTCATCCTTTAAAAGCTTTGGGCCAGTGAGTTGAGTTTGACTTGTTAACAGTTATTATGGTTACATGTGTGTGCATGTGCGTTGCAAGTGTGTGTGTGTGTGTGTGTGTGTGTGTGTGTGTGTGTGTGTGTGTGTGTGTGTGTGTGTGTGTAATGCGTGAGTGTTATTTCAAATATACAACATGGTTCTAAAATTGAAATTTAAACAAAAGCCATCTCTGACATTTATAATTTATTTAACTTTCAACAGGTGTTTTAATAGTTAAACAATGGTGCTAGTGAAGTAAATGAAATGGCAACGCCATTGGTGAAAACTCACCGCAATTCGTCATCGTTATATAATATATGTATTACTATTATTATTATTACTATTATTGTTATTGTTAGTAGCAGTGGTGGTAGTAGTAGTAGCAGTGGTAGCAGCAGTAGTAGTAGCAGTAGTAGTAGCAGTAGTAGTAGCAGCAGTAGTAGTAGCAGTAGCAGTAGTAGTAGTAGTAGTAGTAGTAGTAGCAGCAGCAGCAGCAGCAGTAGTAGTAGTAGTAATAGTAGCAGTAGCAGTAGCAGTAGTAGTAGTAGTAGTAGTAGTAGTAGCAGACATTACTTTTGTAAATGTTTCAGATTCAAAAATGTTTACCGCTTCTTATACCGTTGTTGACATTAGTTGCTTAATTTGATTTTATTTTACATAAGCCCGATTTTTTAAAATTTGATTGAAAACAAATGAACAAAATAAAAAATAATATCCAATGGAAAAACAGCAATATCTTTTACAAAACAAGAAATGATCTAGTAACGACTTTTTACGTTTGAAAAATGATGAACTGCACTCTTACGCACGTTGTAAACATCAGGAATGAAATGTTGTTACAAACATCATTGTACATTTCAAGTATGACCTAATGAAATTGCAACCCACGAAACAAGAGAATCAAAACCAGCAACATCAACACATCTAAAGACAATCTCATCAAATCATTGCACGCACACATCAACACAGAGACACACATCAACACGTGCATAAAAAATCAGCACAAACTCCAAAACAAACGCGCAAAATCACATAAACTGTCAATCTTACGTTGATGTTGAGTTGCATGTTCAGCGAAGCTACTCTTGAATGGGCAGTTTCCAATTCGTGACGCAACTTCCTTATCTGACGTTGAAAACAAAAACATTATAAATTTATTTCACAGAGTTTTAATTTATCAATGTTACATACTTACTTGAGAAATTCTCATTAATGTCTACAATTATTGTTACAAAATTATCGGTGGCTTTGAAACAGAGATGGTATAAACAAAAAAACAGTAGCTTAAAATAGGAAAGATGAATGAAAAGTGACAACTAGAGCTATGATGACGACGATGGTCGTGATGATGACGACGATGAAAATGATAACAATGATGGTAATGGTGATAACGATGATGGTAGTGATGATGACGTTGAAGACGTTCATGACATAACACAAACAGTTTATAGCTAATAATAGCTTATAATAGGTAACAAAACGCAGTTTGGACTTTAGAAAAGAACAGCTGCAGTAAAAAAAAATGATGAAAGACATTGTTTGACTCATAACTTCGTAAAGTTCTAAAAAAAAGTAATTCAAGTTTTAACGCTTTTTAAAATATACCGCAACTAAAAAATCTAAGAGAAAATGGATGCAAACAACATGTGTTTGTTTTATTAGCTTGTTTAATTAACGCTGTGACACTTGGCTTGCTTCAAAATAAAAAATATATCCTATGTTGCATCTTTAAGTCGAGTTGTCCTGAATGTATAACAAACTCACAACAATCCATACCTCATACAAATCAGACAACTTATAACCTATAACGAATATACGTACACAAAAATCCTTATAAACAATTATTTTCAGAAATTAAAACCTATAAACATTCTTAACTGAACAGTAGTTTTGTATTTAGTTTAGTAAAAATCTATACAACAACTAACATAAAAATATTATTGAGTTACATTCAGAATTGGGTTTGAAAAAGGCATGACCACTAAATAATATCTAACATTCTCCGATTGATTAAAAAAGAAGAAAACCATACACATCAATAAACTTGTAAAAATTGAAAAGAAAGAAAAAAAATTAGTAACCTCCTGAGCATGGTACTCTTCAGCCTGCGAAACAAAATAAAATTCATTTCAAGACAGTTTTATTATATTGAACAAATATTTAAAAGCATCAAATTGAATTATAATCAGAAAATATTTGTATGACATTCTTCAGTTATGATTAAATTTAAAAATTATACCTATCAAAGAACATTAATTTTTTCATAATAATAAATTGTAAAACCGAAACCATAAAATAATGAACAATTATTGGAATTTCAATTAAAAATTTTCAAACCATCTAATTTTAAATATTCTCCAAGATAAATTTAAACAAATTTAAACCCTACTTGAAACTATTCAAAAAACTTACTTAAACCTCAACTTTTCTTTCAACCTCTAAACCTAGCACTATTTCTAACCAAACCTGCCAACTTATCTACCGCCATTTATAAAATTTGTTACAAAATCAATTAAGTATACATCAATAAATAATGGATAAACAATTTTTAACAGGCATGCGAATGAAGAAAAAAATCAGAGGAAGAAAATTCGATTTTGAGAAATAACATATTTGAGGCCAGTAAAAAAAACACAGACAAAAGAATTTTATATCAATATTATTTTAAAGAAAAACCAAAAGAATGAAAAAGTCTTGAGTAAACCAGCTTAAATAAAGCAAATAATTGCTGTCCAAACAGTTGGTTTGAAGTATGAACTTTGTAGCAGAATTAACAGCATAGCTGGCATACTTTGTGAAGTGTGTAAGTGAAGTATGTTGTTTTTAAAGATAGAAACAGTTTACTTTATTTCTTGTTATCTATCATGAATGGATACATTTGCTACAATTATATTAAAGACTATAATATCTACCATTGTATCACAAGCATTACGTGAAATATAGAGTCAAATTATATAATTTTTATAATAATTTAACTAATTGTTTATCTATTTGTTTGTTTGATCGTTTAAAATTGAATTTCTAGTAAAAACTGTTAATTATAAAAGCCATATTTTCTTCATAATCTAAACAGCAAATAGATACAAATCATATTTTAAAAGGAATCATCCTCAATTCATTTTCATGATTCTGTAGCCAGCAAACATCATTTCTCAGAAATGAATTAATGACAAACTGCTAATTGTTTGATAAGCCAATTCTCAATTGGAAATATTCCCTAGTCCAACGCAATGAAAAAGGAAAGAGATTCAACATGATGAATATCTTAGATTAATATGCGGTGCGTATGTTGTATATATAAATGTGAATAATATATATATAAATAATCATGAATAAATATTTTAAAAAATGATAATTAAAAAAAATTAATCCGTATTTACGCAAAAAAAACTTACCGTAGAGTATAAAGAAGAACAAGATCCCAAAGATAACGTAGATCCGTTTCCTGTAAAAAAAACAACATTGGGCCAAGTGTTAAACAGTTACCAACTAATACAACGTAAATTACATAATGGTTAATAAAATTTATAGACATCTATATCTTTTTTGCGAATGAAAGAGTTTCCCTTGTTTTCTGTTTATGGAATGTGTTAAAAATTAAAATAACCAAAGGAACATAAGAAATAAAATTGGATATCCTGAAACTAAATGATGCTAAATGCCAAATGAAGTAAATAAATAAAACGAGTCAACCAATATGACTTTGTGGCCAATTAAAGAATCATAAAATGAAGTTTTAAATATTAAAAAGCAATTAACACTCAAGCGCCATGACTCCACGTAAGATATTTCAAGGGAATCACATAATGCTTATAAATGCATATGCATATACAATGATATAATAAATCAATGCATCATAAAAATGAAGTTGCGAGTGAAGATGACTTTTAAACAATATAATGGTAAGGTGTTTATTTAAGAGAATTACAATAATTTTTTTGTCGATAAATGAAAATTTAAATTGGCAAGACGTCAACAATTAGAATACTAGAGCTAGATAATTATGACCTGCTGCTCTAAGTGTAAAGCAATCTCCTAAATAAAGTTTTTCAACACGGTAAATATAAACAAGAATTATAAAAATTAACCATTGGTGGACTGAGGTCTAGAGACAGAGCCGCCACCATAATTGCTGTGACTTCCAGATCTGTTGAGCATGTATCCACTGGAGCTTGTTCTCATCCTCCTATCGACACCATCTGTCATGTTAAGTTGTGGCTGAACGACAAGGCCTGGAGTGCCTGACGATGTCTTGAAGCATGAAGGCTGTGGAGAAGATGGATAATTATTGATACTCTGAAGTTTGAATGAAGGGAAGGAAGCCAGAGATGATGCATCGTCATTATTGTGGTACAGAGAAGTATCACTTCGTCTGTTTGGCAGCGGTGACAGAATGTTACAAGACACAGTGTCTGCATTCTGTGGATTGACATTATCTTCTAGTTTTCTTGCCATCCTAGACGCTATTTGGCTTCTTGACATTGTGGCGTATGGATTGACTTTGAAAGGTGAAACGACATTTTGGCAACTAAATGGAGTTAACGGTGCTGCAGTTTGTTGATCGCCATCACTAACAATAGATAACGTCTTGCCAAGTTTGAATGATCTGCTGTTTATGCTATCTCCGTCATCTCCATTCTGGTTACGACGTTGAAAGACCCCACTGTTGTAGCACTGTTCCAAGGACATTCCAAACTTCGAACCAGACGACAAACCATCCTTCTTGCCGGCAAAAAGTGAAGAGGAAGTAGTTGTCATTACGGAGGAAGTTGCTTTAGCATCATTCAGAGATTGGTGAGGCAGGAGCGAGTAACTGGATGGATGAGATGACAATGAAGATAACGTTGGGGCCACCAATGACGGAGGCAAATATTCTTCATTATTATTCAGATTACTGAACAATGAAGATGGCATGTTGGCAGAAGAGATCTTAGTATTAGATCCAACGGATTTGATAGAACCCTTCCTCATGTTTCCTTCAGTCGGCAAGGATAAAACTTCATCCAGTTCAATCATTCCCTCATTAACCATCAAAGGTTTGGTGATGGAATTGTTCAAGTTTATTATTGATTTTCCATCTTTGTCACTACTAGTCATTAAATTGATTAATTTCGTTTGATGATTTGATTTACCAGATCCATTACTTTTTGTACTAATTGAATCAATGTTATTTTTATTGCATGTTGGTATATTACTGATTTTTTCTTGAAACATAACCTCCACGTCAATTTCTGTCTCCTCCAAATCAGGTATAGAGTTAGATTCATTCTCTTGAGTCTTCTTAACAAATCCAGACAAGGGAAGAATGGCTCGCCTGCCTCGAACAGGCATGGTTGAACGATTCCCATTTGCTCTTGAAAAGTTATTTTCTGAAAGATCCTTGAGAAATTTATTTTTCTCAAGCATCATTTGTGCCTTGGCTGCTGAAGTTGTTGATGATGGGTTGACTGGTTGATCTTCATTGCTGCTCAGTGAACTGCCACCATCCATCCTGTTCAAATTAATTTATTCATTCATTTATTTACAGACAGATCTACAAATAAATTAATTAATAATTTATTAAATTAACGAAAATAAATTACATTAAATTAATGTTCAGTGTAGATAAGACATAACTGGAGAAATAAAAAAAAATCTATACAGATAGAAAACTATACAGGCAGAGAATGCACAGCTGTTCAACAAAACAATTTTTCAAAATTTTAGAAACTTTAAATATTATAAAACAAGCTTAAAAGAAATAAATAAAAAAATAGTAAACATACAGCACTTTAAGCAAAGGTCTATTATCATAATGTAATTAAAAGCTATGAAGTTTAAAATTAAATGTAGCTATTTCTAATTGTTTCCTCTCTCTTTGAATATATTTAAAAGAAGCAAATCTATAATAAGTTATTATTAATAATTAACATTTATTTTCAAAAAATTTAAAATTGACAAATGATAAATGTTCAAATCAAACCAATCTAAATTTTTAACTCTTCTTACAATTTTTAAACTTAACATTTACTACCTTCGATTTTATCACCATTTTCATTAAGCTGAACCAATTTACTAAAACATTTCTAGCATGTTGTTAGTTGAATTTTCTTATTTTAGCTGTTTTTCAACTTTCGAAATTATTTTTAATAATAGTGAAGGTGAAAATTTAATCGAAATGAACTAAAAGGGAGACACACTGCATAGCAAAGCAGACCGGTAAAATAGCATGGCAGCAAATAAGCACAAGCAACATTTTTCTATTAAAAAATAAAAGTGCTCCCTTCATAAAATTGTGCAACGATTCTGCAACAAGAAAAATAGTAAACAAAATAATAACATTAAATCAAACATAAAACCACAATGACCACATCTCGGTAATAAATCCTCCATTTAGATAACTACACCCTTGAGCTATAATTTGAGCATTCTTAAAGCCATCACGCTTCCATATAGAAGAAATTATGCACACAGAGTTGATGCAGTAATGTATTAATATAGATGCAACATAATCTGGCCATCAAGATGATGTTTTAAAAGAGAGCAGAACATCAGCATGGTAATAATAACTGCTTGCTGAACAATCCTGTAATGGCAAAACATCATGTTATGGCCTAACATCATCACAGAACCATATCATCTTGTTTACAACAAATGAAATAACCAGCCAGCCAACAGAAGAGATTGCATTTATGTCAGTACACATAAATATTCATTTGGAACGTTATAAAACCTAACTCCTCTTCATTTGGTGTTCTCAATAAATAATGTTGCACAATAAAAATAAGAAAAAAACTTGTGAGTATAAAAAATCATGCCAGTAAATAATGAAAGTTTTACACACACACATACACACACCACCACACCACACATACACACACCACACACACACAAACACATTCACATAAAGTATTCATGTTAAACAACCAGTAGGCTCTCCATAAATCTCTCAACTGAAAACACTGGGCAAATGTCACAATAAGAAATTATTGAAAATAAACAAAATCATCACCATCTTTATTAACACTGGAACATCATTACCATCATCATCATCTTAATTAACACTAAAACATCATTAACATCATCATCCTTATCACTATTATTCTTATCATAAACATTGCGAATATCATCACCATTATATACATAATAACCGTTCATCTCATCATCATTGTCACTACCAAATACAAAACAATCACCACTCATTACCACCACATCCCATAACTCATCATCCTCACATACCAAGTTAACCATGCGGACCAAAAAAGGTTCCCAAACCATAATGAGTGCAAATTCAGTTGAGCATGCATTGAACAGCGTCTAATGCATGTTAGCAATTTAAAATGTTGGAATTGCTGTTATAATGAAAAATCATGCCACAATTTATAAATATAGCATAATTAATTCTAAGTAGAATTAACAACAAAAGATTCACCCAATAACAGTCTCCAAAAAGATAGCTGGGCCAACATTTATTAAAAGTGGTATATTTCAAATGAATATCTAACCATTTGCAATAATTTTCAACATTTTGTCCAAACCATTATTTAACCACTATTTTGCATTAGTAGCACGAAATATTGAGAAGAAATACACAAGCATGCATATTTGAGAGTCAATCAACATAATGGATGATGATTGAATGCTTGCTTGATGCATGAATTATGAATGAAGTGATATCATGGATGTACACTTTTCAAATGCATCAACGTAAGTACACAAATGTCAAATCACTTGTTCCAGTGAATAAATTATTTCAACTGTGGTTAGTGAGAACACCCGAATGTATGCTTGCAAGTACAAGCTAATGATATGAGGCATGCATGCAACATATTTATTTTAAAGGCAGGTCCTAAAAATTTCACACTTAAAACTATAAAAGATACAAAACCTTTCTATTAAAAAGTATAAACCAAAAAGTTTTATAAACAAATTGTGTCAATTCATTTCACAAACACTACATAACATACAGCAAGTACACACAGTATGATAATCATATAAAAAGATGAAGTTATTACAAAAGAAAACTTCTGGTCCATCCACCATCACTGTACTATGGATCAATCAACACACTTGAAATCTTTATACAACACAAATTAATTTATATAAATATGTGAGCGAGTGTGTATTTATGTATGTGTGAGTGAGTGTGTGTGTGTTTGAGTGTTTATGTTTGTGTGTATGTGTATGTGTAGTAAAATAAGTAATCCCTATGGAAATGCACATGCACATGAACAAATGCGAGCACAAACGCACATGGATATGATAGTTGCACTTGTGTTATCTGGCTGAAGTGTTCACCGCAATGATATAACCATGCTGAGATGAGAGGAAATTAAATGAACGAACGAATGAATGAACGAATGAATAGATGAATGAATCGCGTAATGAATGATTTAATAAACAAAAACAAACAAAACAAAGGAGAATGAAAGAGTCAGTGGCAGAAGATTAATTAATTGATCAACAAATTAACTAAAATTAATTAATAAATTAAGGCAGTTGAAAGCTTTTCACATTTTTACAACAAGACCTCTAGCGGTGATAATCATGACAATGATGATGAAGATGATGACAACAACGGTTTTGACTTTGGTGATGATAAAGATGAAAGTGTTATGCAGTGATCAAGCAATCATTCATGCCAAATATGTTTAATCTGTAAATAGAAAGCTAAACTGTAGAAACTTAAAAACAGAAAAACGTAATTAAAACTAAGACTGGGTAAAAACTTACACACATATCGAAATGACAAGTGAAATGTTACAAAAACGCGAGCTAAAATAAAGCAGTAGCCGAACTATAAACAGATAATGTACACGTAGATGAAACAGTCAAGATTATGAAAATAGAAACTGCAACTGCTGCTAAGATAATAGTAATTAAACTGATAATGATAATAATGATAATAATAATAATAATAATAATAATAATAATAACAATAATAATAACAATAATAATAATAATAATAGATGGTAGAAGATGGTAAGGGATACCGAAAAAAACTTTTCTGTTCTATCATGCCTAAATGTTCTATCATGCTTAAGTTGAAATAAATAAAAATTTTGGCTTTGAACTCATGAAACTTGACAATGATTTACGATCTA